GCCTACTACCTAGGAAAAAATCATCTTATCTCTCAGTATTAACCAAATCAACCAAAACATCTGCTAATAAGTTTTATTATGTGACCTCTAGGCTTTTAATTCTGCCAAGTCATAAAATATTACCACCTGAACCATTACTTGTAATATAAACTTTGAGTGCAATTTCAAGATTATTTTACGGAACTTTACTCCACCTTACTACCTCACATTTGTATTAAGTTTAAATAAGATTGTAAAACAGTTAACCATTACTTTTTATCTTGTTTTAAGTATAGTTACAGTGGAATCTCAAATATCGAACTTTCTTTGGTCCAGAAGGCTGTTTGAGTGCCTTTACCGAATGAATTTATTCCCATCAGGAATAATGTAAATTAGGTTAGTCCATTTCAGACCCTCAAAAATACACTTATAAAAGCACTTACAAAAATACACTTACATAACTGGTTGTGTTGGGAGCAGTTCGATTTTTGAGGTTCCACTGTACTATGTATTTATTATCTTGTCTAGTTTTAATTAGTTACTATGTATCAGGATTAGTCTGCCCAAAATGCCCCAGCATGATAGTGGCTATCTTTGTACTTAGCAAATCAAAATTGTATTTACACGCTGTAACCTTTACGAAGAAATAAACTTTATCTTATCTTATCATATCTATCTTATTATGCAATGTATTTCAGGCAATTGATCATAAGACTTACATGTTACTTAACCCTTAAACTGTCCAAACATAGATCTACGTTTGCATGCGTAGCGCTCCAAACATAGATCAACGTTTTATTTTTCATACCTTCAAATTTGGCACAATAGGCTTGAGTCGCCTAGACATGAAAGAATGGGTCTGTGCACTCAGTGTGAGCACTATTAAAAAAATCTGGGAGCACTTAGTACCTTTTGGGAGCACCAGTTCAATTGAGCACCAGCTAGAGCAAATAGCGTTGCAAACACCAGGGATTCACTGATGCCATGTTGCATTAACACTCCCATTTTAAGAGGAAAGTAAAAACAGGTTAGATAAATACATGAGTGAGTGTGGGTGGGTGTTGGACCTGACTAGCTTGTGCTATTAGGTCTGATGTCATGCTCCTTCCTTCAATGGATGTAAGCTGACTAGGTGGGTCATGGGTCTAAGCCAGGGAGGGTAACATGTACCTGCCTTGCATGGGCCAGTAGGCCTGCTTCAGTGTTCCTTCTTTCTCATGTTCTTATGTATTCGGCAGGCTGGCCGGCTGGCTGTCTTGCTTTGGCTGTCTCTGGCTGTTTGTCTATATCTCTGTCTATACCTCTGCCTATCTATATCTCTGCCTATCTATAGCTCTGTCTATCTATATCTCTGTCTATCTATATCTCTGTCTCACATGTACACGTAAGTACAGTTATTATACATAGTGTAAATTACCTAGGATAACCCAAAAATTCCAGGCAAAGATAGACAGATAGATAGATAGATAGACAGACAGATAGATAGACAGAAACATGTTTGTGTGTATCAGTGAAAACAAATAAAGACAGGGTTCCCCAAACGCCCATTTATCAAATGTCACCGAGCTGATAACAGATGCCATAACACGATTCTTCAAGGCGCTCGATATACATATACATGTACAGTGAACCCCCGCTTAACGATCACCTCCCAATGCGACCAGTTATGTAAGTGTATTTATGTACGTGCATTTGTACGTGTATGTTTGGGGGTCTGAAATGGACTAATCTACTTCACAATATTCCTTATGGGAACAAATTCGGTCAGTACTGGCACCTGAACATACTTCTGGAATGAAAAAAATATCGTTAACCGGGGGTCCACTGTACTCCAGGCAGACAGAAAGACAGATAAGCAGAGACAGACAGACAGGCAGGTAGATAGACAGAGACAGATAGATAGATAGAAAGACAGGCAGACAGATAGTCAGATAAACAGACAGATAGACATATAAACAGACAGAGAGACAAGACATGTTTGTGTGTAACAGTGATAACAAATACAGCGAGAATTAGCTGGAGCAGTGGGCATTTATGAAATGTCACTAGGAAGTCAACAGTATAGGGATGCCTTTCATAACACCATGCTTCAAGGTATATGCCAGGGTATCTAAAACATTGCTGGGACCTATAAATACTTTGTATATATTTCTAGACAATAGTAAATAACCCAGGCAGGTGTAAATGTTCACCTGTCAATGTGATTGTGACTAGTTGAGCACTATTTCAGTACCTAATATTAGTGTCAGAACAAAGATTGGCTATGAAATTACAAGAACTATTATAAACTGTAATTATCAGAGCATAAAAATATATAAATTAAAATAAAAATGAGAAAAAAAGGAATAATGGCAACACTTCTGCAAGCGGCAGGAGTCGATGTTACTGAAAGGTGAGCATTCAGAGCCAACTTCAAGGTCTTATATCTCGGTAAGTACTGGCCCTAAAAATTTTTTTTTAATCTTATAACATGTAGAAAAATGTGCTCTTCATTTTAAAAGAAAAAAACGATTGTTTCATTTTTCAAAATATTTGGAGCACTATGCGAGTGAACATAGATCTACGTTTGGACAGTTTAAGGGTTAAGAACTAGACATAGACTATTATGCAGGACTTATTGTGTACTTAACTACAATCATGAGTACCATAAAAAATGTAGTTAATGACAAATGGTCAATTACAAAAGTACAGCCTCTCCTCATTTAGCGACGTACTTGTTTACCAATGACTCGGACTTATGACGGGCTCTCTGATCAGTGTGCATACCTAAGTAATGTATATCAGAGCTGATTTTATCTGTTTTGTTTATTGCAATATACAGTACACTACTGTATAAACATTTAAAAATACTAAAAATGTTACATATAGTGCAAAGATGACATTAAAACAATATCAAAGATGGTAGACACAAACCTACTATTATTATAGTATGCTCCTTGGTTTGTGACAATTCGTTTACTGACATAGTCTTAGGAACAGAACTCCGTCGTTAAGTGAGGAGAGGCTGTATGACACATTTTTTTAAATGGGTTCAATGATCTTCAGTTTCATGGAGTGATTGAAAAAAGATGGTGAAGCTAGATCAAGTTAGCTATAGTTGAATAAAATGGGACAAGTTATGTTACTAATTATGTATGGGAGTTGAAGGAAGAATGGAAGAAGAACAGGGACAGTACTGGATGAAATTTGGTTTTGTTTGAGATAGCATATTGCTGTCTAGATTACATTAAGGAGATGATATGGTTTTTAACAATAACTCTGCACAGACTGACAGACAAAGGACCTTTCTGATGATTCTTGCAGGAGTTCCAGATCTTAAGGACTTGTATGCACACTGAATTTTTGCACAGGTTGGGTCGAACAGAGATGTTAAAGAGTGTTTTGTGTATTTTTATGCCTGTGTGTTAAGAGGAGGGTTTATATTGGAACTGCTTGTCCTATATATATATATATATATATATATATATATATAGCAGGCACAATAGTATGAGTGAATACTGTGTATGCACAATATGCATACACAATATGCACATCTGAGGAGTGTGTTGTCTGGCACTGGAATGGGTAATCATCCACACAGTGGCTTTCTGTGGAGTTATTAATGGTTTTAGGTGATTTGATTTAGTAGATCCCCAGACACAAATATCATAGGTGAACTAAGGATACATCACAGAGTGGTACAACATAAGCAGTGCTGTAAGAGGTACAGAGTAACATATCTTGGAGAAGATGTTTACTGTTTTGGAGACCTTCTTGGCTCTGTGTTAGATGTGGGTATTAACTTCAAGTTACAGTCATGGTGAAGATCTAAGAATTTACCCTCAATGAGTCTTACAATGGGGAAACCATTGATCAATATGTTTACACAGATATTTGAAGTTCTACTTCCAAACATCATGTAGTAAGTTTTGTCAATATTAACCCTTTCAGGGTTGACAGGTCCTCTCCTAAACTTGTTCTCAGGGTTGGAAATTTTTCAAAAAAAAAAAAAAAAATATTTTTTCATATGAAATGACAGAGAATCTTTTCCAGATCATAATGACACCAAAAGTAAGAAATTTGATGGAAAACTTACAGAATTATGCTCTCGCGAAGTTAGTGGTCTTGACAATGTTTATGCATCGGCGATTTCGCCCACTTTGAGCCCTATTTTCGGCCAATTCCAATGTACCAGTCGACAAAAATCATAACTATTTCACTAGAACTCCATTTTTTCTATCGATTGAGTACAAGAAACCACCCATTTACCGATATCAACTATCCAGTAAAGTGGTCAGAAATTGGCAATTTTGCCAATTTCACACAAAAGTTATGTCATCTGCAAACAGAACAGCTTCAAGGATACGAGGTGTGTTGGAGAGATCAGTGATGTATATAATGAAGAGCAATAGGCCAAGAACACTGTTCTGAGGCACTCCTACATTGACAGGTCGCGTTGATGAGGTAACACTGTTTGTGGAGACATACTAGTGTCTGTTTCTAAGATAAGATTTTAGATATGCTAGAATATTACCTTTGATACCATAATGGTATCCTTGGATCTGATATTCTCACTAAGTTGTCATTTGGAAATAATGTACACTGAATTCACTTGGAAGTGAGAGTTTTAAATCCATGTGGGATAGCGAACAATAAGATAGCATTCCCATAATGCACTGCGATGGCCCTGATTTATTTTATACTGAGCACACCAATCGCTCAAACCTGTTCAATCATAGCTAGGCCAACCAGGCTTCTCCCACAAAATTTGAGGCCTCTAAAACTTATGCTTAGATGTACATATATGAGAGTGATATTAGTAATGTAGATGTACATAAGTGAGAATAGCATTAATAATGTAGCTCTAGGTGGGAGAGAGTGAAAGAAATATACCCACTAAACTTATCATTGCACTGTTTGTGAGGAAAGTTGCTAACTAAATCATAATAATCTTAGTGCTAGCTGTAAATACCACACTTACAAGACACATGGCACATTAACACATACTTTACACAAGACAACCAAACATTGGATACACTCACGTGAATAAACTTGACATCTTGTGCATATCGTGGTGGCCTACCAAAGTGAAGAATCCAGTTCAGTCTTGCCCCAAGAAGCAAAATTACATCAGCTTCTAACAATGCTCTAGACCTGGCAGCAGCTACACACTGATGATGATCATCACTTACAACTCCTTTACCTGTTAATGAAATATATATTCACTTCATGCTCTGTAATGGACTTAACATTACTACACTTGTAGAAAAGTTTGCATCTCGACAAACATAATCAAGCCCATTAAAAAACACAGCCATTCTGAAAATTCTGTGGTGTGAGACAGCTCCCTAATAAAAAAGAACATATAAATAAACAAACAAAAACAAATAAATAAATTTCTGCAGTATACATAATGTAGTTTACATGTAATAAAATATTGTTAAGCACAAAGAAAGTCACTAACATGTAGAGCATTTTGGTTATACTAATGCTAATGCTTGCACACTACTTAAGATAATGCAGGTGGAGGGAGTGTAGCATCTTGAGACAGGAAGACTGGTAGTGTACCTCTATCAAGCTTTTATTTAACTCTACACCTTCTTCATAATAACATAACTTACTGGAACTGTGTCTTCAGTGCTATCTAAAAATTATCTTCAATTCTTGACTACTGTCAGCATTGACTTTTTTTTATATAATTATGCCAGTAAATCATCAATTTATTCCTCATCACACTCATGCCAACAATTGCTGCTTCTTACCACTAGGGAATGATTGTACCTCTAAATATTATTTTTCTTCCATCCATATTACATGTACAAAATACTTCCATTATAATACACCAGTCTATTACATGTACAATATTTTCAACAGCAGGTCTGTGGGAGTAATTATTAAGGTCAAGATTGGCTTTAAAAGGTTATTTAGACCTTAACTGACCTTCACAATAAAATGAGGCCTTTTATTTGGCCATTTCACAAAATATATTTTGTAAAATACTGAATATCAATAAATAATCTTACAGATGTTTATATACAAGATAAAGCAGAGACATCACAAGATAAAGCAGAGACATCACATGATAAAGTAGAGACATCACATGAGCAAGTAGAGACATCACAAGATAAAGCAGAGACATCACAAGATAAAGCAGAGACATCACATGATAAAGCAGAGACATCACATGATAAAGTAGAGACATCACATGAGTGAGTGATCTGGCAGAAGGCATAGTCACTTGTCAACCCCTCAGCTATGTTGGATCGTCTGACCACAAAGCTGTTTTTACGACACTTAAGATCCCAACAGAACGAGGCGAGGAGTCCACACGCACAACCTGGCTATGGGAAAGAGGTAATTGGCCAGCCCTTTGCTCTGAGCTCACCACCACCGACTGGAATGCTCTTCTCCAAGGGGATGTTGACAACCAAGTGAAAGCCTTCACTGGACACATCCTTAATCTACAACAAAAACACATTCCTCACCAGCAATATGTGACGAAGCCTACGGATCAGCCTTGGTTTGGCTTTCATTGTAGAGAGGCTGCTACTGCTAAGTACAAAGCATGGCAAAGGTATAAGAGACATCCTACCACCTATGACAGGAACTTGCACAGGCAAGCCTGTAGACATATGGGTGACGTTCAAAAGTGGGCCATTGCTAAATGGGAGGTGGACACGAAAAGAAAGCTAGCATCAGGTAGGGTAGGCTCCAAAACCTGGTGGTCCCTGGTCAAGGACAGACAAGGTTATCTGCCTGATGAACTCATTCCACCTCTAAATCGACAGGATGGGACCACCTCTACTAGCAGTCAAGAGAAGGCGGACCTCTTTGCTGAACACTTTGCTACTAAAATGCAAGTTCCTGATCCAGCAAGGGACCCTCTTTGGCTAGCTGCAAGAACTGTGTCAAAACTGTCAGTGGTGACAATAAGGCAGGAGGAGGTGCATTTCCTTCTTAAATCGCTTGACCAAGAAAAGGCTGTAGGCCCAGACAAGTTGAGCCCAAGATTGCTGAGATGTGCAGACCAGCTAGCAGCACCTCTAACTCACATCTTTCAGCACTGCCTAGTACAGTGTAAATGGCCCTCTCTATGGAAAGAGGCAAATGTAGTCCCTGTTCACAAAAAGAAGAGCAGAGCAGAAATCAGCAACTACAGACCAGTGTCACTCCTGTCAATCACTGGTAAGAATCCTTGAGACAATAATCTCAAGACAAAATGACAGAGTTTTATGACTATCACTCACTACTTTGTGATCGTCAATATGGCTTCAGGAAAGGTTACACTCTGCTGCTGATCTGTTGTTAAACCTCTCCACTAAGGGGCACCAGTCACTGGATGAATCCAAAGTCAGCTGTGTGGTAGCACTGGACATATGCTGTGCTTTCGACCGGGTGTGGCACCAGGGCCTCTTAGCAAAACTTCAAGCACTGGGAATTGCAGGCTCTACGCTATGTCTCCTCATTGATTACCTTCATGGTAGATCTCTAAGTGTAGTTCTCAATGGAACGGAATCAGCAAGACATCTTATTGGGGCAAGTGTTCCACAAGGAAGCGTGCTGGGACCATTGTTATGGAATGTCTACTTCAACGACCTTCTTCATCTCATCCCAGAATCACATGCATATGCAGACGACTGCACACTGACATTCGCTTATCCAAGAGAAGAAATGCCAGCTGCTCTAAGCTACATCAATCACCAGCTGAGAGCTATATCAGCTTGGGGAAATAGATGGAAAGTAACATTTGCACCTGAGAAAACGCAAATGATGATCGTCTCTAGGCACCATGATGGTAATGCTGGTGCAGTAGTAAGGATGAATGGGAGGGTGTTGGCACCTGGAGAAGAAGTTGATATCCTTGGGGTGAAATTTGACTCCAAACTAACCATGAAGAACCATGTTGTAAATCTTGCAAACAAGGCAGCCAGGAAGCTTACAGCACTTCGCCGTATCTCGCATCAACTTGACAGTACGGGTTGCAAGATTCTGTACGAGGCACAAGTACGCTCGCACCTTGAGTATGCTCCACTTTCTTGGTTTGCCTGCCCCCCTCTCATCTGCGACTGCTTGACAGAGTAGAGAACAGAGCAAGACGTCTCATCTCTCGCCTGGACCCATCCTGGATAGATCTGTCATTTCAGCAGAGCCTTCAACATAGGAGGGATGTGGGTGGCCTTACTGTTATGTACAAGGCCAATATTGTCAAAGTACCACACTTGGATCCACTTCGAGGACAGCGTGAAACAAGCTTTTATGCCACAAGAAGGGCAGAAAGCAGCAACTTCACTCTGGCTGTGCCCTTCTCCAGAACATCACTCCATCTGAGATCCTATATACCCAGGATGACTTGAGTATGGAACACATTCGTACAGCATAATGATGTCAACGAGATAAAGTCAGTTGATCAAATGAAAATGCTGGCCCACAGATGGCTCCAACTTTATCCTGTTCCCTACTTGTATGTCTCATAACAATAAAAATGCTTTCAAATGAGCTGATGTAGGTAACAGCTCTTAGCTTTCCAATAAAGCTAGGGATCCTTAACCTAACCTTGTCAAACCCTGTGTAAAAAAAAAAAAAAAAAAAAAAGTAGAGACATCACATGATAAAGTAGAGACAACACAAGATAAAGTAGAGTCATCACAAGATAAAGCAGAAACATCACATGATAAAGCAGACATATCACAGGATAGAGTCATCACACATTAATCACTTACGAGATAGTCATCATGTGTCAATCACTGGCAAGTAGAGTCATCATGTGTCAATCATTGGCAAGTAGAGTCATCATGTGTCAATCATTGGCAAGTAGAGTCATCATGTGTCAATCATTGGCAAGTAGAGTCATCATGTGTCAATCATTGGCAAGTAGAGTCATCATGTGTCAATCATTGGCAAGTAGAGTCATCACATGTCAATCACTGGCAAGTAATCACGTGTCAATCACTGGCAAGTAGTCATCATGTGTCAATCACTGGCAAGTAGAGTCATCATGTGTCAATCACTGGCAAGTAGAGTCATCATGTGTCAATCACTGGCAAGTAGAGTCATCATGTGTCAATCACTGGCAAGTAGAGTCATCATGTGTCAATCACTGGCAAGTAGAGTCATCATGTGTCAATCACTGGCAAGTAGAGTCATCATGTGTCAATCACTGGCAAGTAGAGTCATCATGTGTCAATCACTGGCAAGTAGAGTCATCATGTGTCAATCACTGGCAAGTAGAGTCATCATGTGTCAATCACTGGCAAGTAGAGTCATCATGTGTCAATCACTGGCAAGTAGAGTCATCATGTGTCAATCACTGGCAAGTAGAGTCATCATGTGTCAATCACTGGCAAGTAGTCATGTGTCAATCACTGGCAAGTAGAGTCATCATGTGTCAATCACTGGCAAGTAGAGTCATCATGTGTCAATCACTGGCAAGTAGAGTCATCATGTCTCAATCACTGGCAAGTAGAATCATCATGTGTCAATCACTGGCAAGTAGTCATCATGTGTCAATCACTGGCAAGTAGAGTCATTACGTGTTAATCACTGGCAAGAAGAAGAGTATTACGTTGCTAATGATACATGACTGTAACTACTGTAAACCCCAGAGTAATACCACTATTACTCAAGAAATCGTAATGACACGATTGCAAATAAACCATACCCCCGGCTGGGATTGAACCCGCGGTCATAGAGTCTCAAAACTCCAGCCCGTCGCGTTAGCCACTAGACCAGCTAGCCACAATAAGATTCATCCAACTAGGTATATTTCTACACCATAGGAAAGTTAGCACAGGCACCTCTGTGACCACAAATGCAAGTTTTTACAGACGAATCTCCAGCTAGCGTGGCCGTGACGAACTCTAGCTCAAGTCCCTTCACTGCCGTCAACATGACTCAAGAAATCGTAATGACACGATTGCAAATAAACCATACCCCACGGCCACGCTAGCTGGAGATTCGTCTGTAAAAACTTGCATTTGTGGTCACAGAGGTGCCTGTGCTAACTTTCCTATGGTGTAGAAATATACCTAGTTGGATGAATCTTATTGTGGCTAGCTGGTCTAGTGGCTAACGCGACGGGCTGGAGTTTTGAGACTCTATGACCGCGGGTTCAATCCCGGCCGGGGGTATGGTTTATTTGCAATCGTATCATTACGATTTCTTGAGTCATGTTGACGGCAGTGAAGGGACTTGAGCTAGAGTTCG